TTCACCTAAATAGTGATGCACACTCGCTCGCCCTCCTCCCGGCTCCTCCCTCCCTCGCTCCTGGTCTACGGCGGAGCATCCGGCACAGAGCGCCGCTTGTTTACTTGTTTCCTCACATGAAGCCAACGGGCTCAGAGGCCTGGGAAACACAGCGGACCCCCCCCCCCCCCCCGCTGACCATGTGATGCACAGCACACAGAATTAAGAGAGCTGGTTCGTCCTCCGCGTCCTCGCTGGTGGGGGGCCACCTCGCTGAAACAGGAAGCACGGCATCATGGGAAGTGGCGCTGTCGCTTGACTTGTTCAATCAACATGTATTATTCTGCCCCTTTAAGCAGCTGGAATCCATGTTTTATATTAAAATAGATCAGATGAACGTATTGTTATTATTGTTATGAGAATGTGGAGTGAATTGGACTTGGGAGGTGGGGGTAGAGGAGGAGGAGGAGGAGGTGGGGGTAGAGGAGGAGGAGGAGGAAGGAGGTTTATTATTCCCTGTTCTAGAGTGCCGGGTGCCGTTTCGGCGATTCTCAGACATTTCCTGCCGCGGCCACTGAAAATAACCCACAGGAAAACCGGCCGACCTGCTGCACATCAACGCTCCCATCAAATTCAACCCCCCCCGGCCGGCCCCTCCCCCTCCCCCGCCCACACCCACGCCTCAAAGGCCAACTTTTACACGTGTAAACACAAGCCGCCGATGTCACCTGGGTAACTCGTCCCACGCAGTGAACACGCACACACAGCGTTTAACACCGTACCTCTCGTACTCGTGCTCATAGCCCCCGTGATACGGATCCTGCACTTCGTAGATGTCTGAATCCGCTCCGTCGGGGTCATGTGACCAGCCCGGCCTGGCGCCGTGAAACGGCAGGTTCATGTACTCGGGGATCTCCTCGTACAGGGGGACGTTCTCGTACTCCACCGGCTCCTCTGCGTACTCCCCGCGAATATCTGCCTCCACTACGCAGCTGCTGGGCCGCCGCAGGCTCCTCCCCCCCCGGCCGGAGTCCACGCCGCTGCAGTCCGGGGACTGGCCCCCCTTCGCCCCCAGCTTTGGCAGCATCTTGACGGACAGCCGGAGCTCCAGCAGCTTCCTGAAGGAGAGGCTCCTCTTTTGGGGGTCGGCCCGGGTCGCCAGGTCGGCCGCGGAGAAGGACTGCGCCCGCTGCTTGCCGCCCAGCGCCGGAGCTCGTCCCTTCGGCGGCACGCTGCTCCTGGAGGGCGCCTGCCGGCTGAAGAAGGTCACGCTGGGTCGGGAGAAGCGCCAGGCGGTCCTCTCCTGAGGGGGCGCCGGCAGCTCCCTCATCGGGGTGTTGGCGTGCGGAGGCGCGGGAGGGCAGGCGGAGGGCGGGGGCGGCGTCGGCAGGCTGTGTCGCTGGGGTTTCCTCGGCGGCGCCCTCGGCGAGCGCTGATCCTCGGCGGAGAAGGCCTTCCTGGCGTGATCCAGCGGCGGGTGACAGCCGAGTTTGATCTGCTTGGGGAGGCTGTGAGTTATCGGGTAGCGCTCGAAGTCGCCGTACCCGTCCTCCTCGTCCTCCTCCACGCGGTGCTCCGCCCCCCCCTTTGGGTGGCTGTTGGAGTCGGCGTGCGAGAGCAGGACCAAGGAGTGGGATGTGTCTTTGTTCCCAGGGGGGGGCTTGTGGGCCAGTCTGTGGAGGCGAGGCGAGAGAGAGGTCTGTCGAGGAAGAGGCACCGGCGCGCTGGTCTCGTCTGCTGTCCACACCCAATCTTTTGACGGAGGGTGTGAGGTCGTCGCCTCCCGGGTCCCCCTCGTCCTCTCGCCCCTCGAGCTCAGCGTCCCCATTCCCCCGCCGGCTGATCCCGGGCGCCGCGCTCCACGCCATCCTGCCTCACCAGGGCCGGCTTTTTAGGCTTGCGCGGGTGGGGGACCGGGAGGGGTTTACTGGGGGCGGCGGGAACCTGCAGATCCGGGCGAAGCCCGGCGGGAGATGGTGCTTCGCTGATAGTCCCGCCGCACTCCACCTGCGAGGACTCCGCGGGACATTCGCGGGGAGGGACGCTCGGGGGCGGGGCAATGATGCTGCCTGCAACATCACAGGGCGACGCGGGGTCCGGTGAGCGGGTCCATGCATTCGCTTGTGAAACATCGGGCTCGGCGACGGCCCCTTCCCGATGTTGGACCTGCTCCTCGCCCCCCCGTCCCCGGTCCAGGTGTCTCTGTCTCTGAGGTTTGTCCCTGGGCTTCTTGCCAATCCCTCCACCGCCCCCCTTCTCTACGGCGACTCCCTCCTCCGGGTGTTCTGCTCCCTCTTGCGGCCCCGCCCCTGCGAGTCCCGCCGCAGACGTTCCATTCTGCAGCGGCTCTCGGGGCGCGGCGGCGCCGCCCTCGGCCGCGTTTCCGTTCTCCAGACGGGGGCACCAGGGGCCGTCCTGGAGCCCGCGGGAGTAGGGGGGAATTATGTAATCCGAGTTACGTTTGTTTGCCTCCAATGAAATCCCATTTTTGGAGTTCAGAAGTAAGAGGCCGTCGCCCAAAGCTTCCCGCCGCTCCCGCGTCAGGAGGAAGGGTTCGCTGGGTTTGGGCGGCGGCGGCGGCGAAACGGGGGGAGACGAGGCAGAGGGTTTGGGAATGCAGGGTTTGGGGGCGACAGCCGGTTTAGTCCTCTTGAGAGTAGCAGGGGAGGGTTGGGAGATGCCCGCCGAATGGGAGGGAAGACCTGGTTTGGGGGCGACGGGGGGGGGCGAGGGTTTGGTGGTGGCAGGGAGTTTAGGTTTGGGAGCTAATGGAGGCTTCTTCACACCTGCAACGGGAAAAACAAGAGTCACTTCCTTGTAGTTGAATCGTGCAGCTCCAGCACGTCACATAAAAGATGCTTCATTCACACGCTTCCACTGCGAGCACAGACATCTCGGGTCAAAGGTCACCTTCTAGGTCAGAGGGACTTAGGGCCGGTATAATGCCTGGAATTAATTCAGGGGTTGAAATGAGGATTCAAGTCATTAAAATTGGATCTGCTTAACTATCTCATTCAGATTCACAGTTGGATTGGTCCTTTCCTTCCTGTTCATGGGACAACTTTAATTACTTCTCCTAATTCAATTGTACAAACTAACTCAAGCCAACAGTGCAAACGGTGTATTTGTGTTGTCTGTTGTTTTGTTTGTTGCTCTCTTTCTTCAGCTGAATGCCTCTGACAGTTTGTCTTCTTGTATTTCTAAAAGGCATAAATTAAACCGCTCTTGAAGCTCTGTTTGTATTGTTGTCAGATTTGTTGTATGTATTATAATATTTACTGTGAAAATAAAAACGGATATGGATATGATGCGCACGTCGGACTGAAGGTGACTGGTTAATTTGGTCAAACAAAATAAAAATAAAAAACAGAGTTGCTACAATTAATAAGAATCTGTGGGCCGACTTGCTGGGGGATGTTTTCCGCTCTCCTGACTGGAAGTCTCGGCCAGCAGTGGAGTCATCGAGCGGATGTTCCCGAAAAAGGCCGACGACCAGAAAACCGCTGGTCCCCCGGTGCCCGCTGCCGGGTGTCGCCACCCGGAGCCCCGCAATCCGAACCCTAACGTTTTAAAGTAATACTAGTAATGTTTTCAGCCGGCGATTACCTCCCCAACCAGTCCCCGGGAGCCTGCTTTTTATATCCGTACCTCCTGGTAGAAAAGCGCAACTTTAAGAAGGTGTTTTTACCAAATGATTGGTGTTAAAATCCACCAGACCTGAGGGCGGAATGAACCCAAAACGCGGTTAAAATGTCGTTGTTCATCTTTATTCATCGGCCGAATGTGCCGGCACAGGCCGGCGATGCCGTGGACGTTAATGAACTCACATCCGTGGGTATTTAATCCCCCCAAGACGCCGTTTAACAACCAAATGCAACGTTTCCGAGCGGAGTTCGGCCTCGTGTTTTTGCCCGTGAAAAGTAACGCCGGGTATCTGCACCAAACGCGCTCCTGCCACGGGCAAGATTAACGATTATAACACGTCTATTACACACGTTCATGCGGGTAAACGCTGCCCGTTTTGCACCGCAGCGCATTGTCGGGTGTCGCTGCATCAACAGCAGGACAGATGTTTTAAGACAAAGGATTTAACCCCCTCCAGCTGCAGCGTTAATATCACGCGGAAAGGGACGTTTCACGTCGCGAGTTGTGATGGAGTTTTTAGAAAGCGCTCACGTTGCGGTCGTGCCCGTCTTTTTATATGTTTTTGAAAGCTGTTATTAAGAAAAACTGTAATTAAGTGTGGTTGAGTAAAAAAAAAAGAAATCGTTGCTGCTATCCACTGCTATGACGTTTAAATCGCATAGTTTCTCCACACAGTGAACTTTAAAGTGTTTAGAAAGAGCTAGCCACATAGCAGGGATGAGCTAAAGTTAAATTGGGTCCACCAAGAAACAAACCTGTGCTCATGACTCCCGACTTGCTCTTTTCTCCATGAGTAAATTTGCTTTCAATGGAATTGCGAGAACATCTGCGTGCTTTCCTCCTTCGACACCATTGTCAGTTTGAGAACCGCTCCTGGGAGAAAACATGCAAAAACCCTCGTTGTCTCTCCTTATCTCGCCAGCGGATGCACGGTTAACGTCTTTACGCTTATTACTTTTCCCATTTTCCCCAAAGTTTTCAGCCACGGTGCCTTTCCCAACAATAGTCAAGTAGAACGCAAAAAAGAAAACATGCACTTCTCCTTTAAGATTTTCAAAATACATCTTTATTGAAGAAGCTCTGGTGCCGTTGCTGTATTTTGATGTTAGTCTCGCCATTAAGCGCACGAATAAATACAGTTGAATACGTCGCGTGAATATAAATGAAATTCAGGTTGATTCCAGCATTCAAACTGATCACACGTTGTTTGAAAGAAACCGCAGTTTTATTTTTCAAATAGCATTTCCGGTGGTACCCTGGCTGACTCCTGTTAGCTTTACACTCGCTTTTCTTCGTAACGGTTCGTCCACTGCCGCTCGAGGCGCTCTAACGTCTGATCGCATTGGTCCGCTCGCGAGCTGCGGCGGTTGACGACGAGCATTGTGGGAATTGTAGTTTTGGGTGAAGTTTTAGCAACCGGCTAACGACCAACTTCTCAGCGGCTGGACGCGACCGCCGTCGCCTACAACTTCGGAATGCAAGCGGGCTGTGTGTAGATGGCGCAGAGCAATGACTGAAGAGTTTGACGAAGATGTGGTATTTGAGGTTCGTATTACAGCCGGTATTTTTTTTTTTTTTTACTCGAAACTTATGGATGCTTTGTCACGCCACCCGAGTTCTGAGGCGACAGCCGCCGTGTTCTCGAGCCGTTCATGGGCAGCTAGCTTGCACGGATAGCGCGCCATGCTAGCAGCCGTTTGCCCTGTTGCCACGCATTGGCAGCCACAAACAAACCCACGAAACAAAACCCACGAGCGGCTCCCTTTGCCGTGTTTCTGCTGTGGAGCTTCGTTGGTGACGAGCGGAGGCTGAGCTGTGCGAGTGTGCGCATTGTTGTAGTTGTTTCGTCATCACTAAACTGGTACCCAGAGGTGGGGCGCGGAGGACCGGGTCCAATGCGTCGGTTCTGGGAGGAAACAGCCTTCACACACACACCCACACACACTCATCCGTCTGAATCGATATGAGCTGCGACTTCGTGTGACAATGCATGTGAGTGGCATTTAATTGTCTGACTGCCAGGCAGGCGTATGTATTGCTATGATGTACAGATGCTGAGTTTTGTATTTGCTGTAGCAGCGGGGAACCGGGTTACACGTTCTGATTCTATTATGGGATGTATTCTCCTCCTCTGCTTGTATCATGGCCGATTTGAGTCCGAGCTGTCTTTTTTTTTATCAGGATAAGAAAGAGCATCGCCTGTTTTTACCCCTCTGTAAGTAGATAAGATCAACACTTGCTGTCTTGTGCCTGCATGTCGTGCAGTTTCCATGGTGCAAAAGGCTAAAAGGACATTCCTGGCATCTGTACAAGGAATTTACAGATTCCGAAATGCACTTTGCATGGCGAAAATTAGTCTGACAAAGAGGGAGAAAGAGGAAAAGTACACTGGCCTGTTGCAAAAAACTAGCGCAGAATTCTCCCGTTCTGCTTTAGGCTTTCATTGTTATCCAACCTTTATTGATCAGTTAGTAAGGAACAAATTCTCATTCACAATACTGACCTGGCAAAAAACAATAAAGACATGCAGACTGACACACAAACATCGGGCGGTACAGAACAACAGCGTCGGGCAATACAAGAACAACACAACACAAGAGGTAAGACATGCCGCACAAACCTGCAGAAGAACGAGAACAAAACATGCACGAGATAAAACGGGAAGAAGCAAACACACAAAGGAGGCTTTTGCAGATAAGCATGAGCCGATTAATATCACAATGAGTGTGTAAAGACGGCCCATCGTGGGACGGACGGTCATCTGGGCAAGAGTTGTGAGAGAGAAAATGAGCTGCCTCGCTTATGAAAGGCCGGTCGACAGTGTACGATGCTTTCGCTAAATCAATAAAGAATGCTGGCAGGTGATTGTGGAGGACCGAGGGAGAGAGGACCGGGGGCGTGCCAGAAGAGACGGTCAGAAGGTGCTCCTCTGAACCGATGACCGGATCGCCACATGTCTCGACAGGTCCTTCCCCCTGGGACTGCGTGTCTCTGGCTTCTCATCCATCCTTCCTCAACCACTCCAATAAGTCTTTGTACTCTTTTCTCTTTGCAGAACTCCCCTCTTTTCCAGTACCTGCACGATCTAGGGCACACAGACTTTGAGGCATGTCCGACGGCATCGCAGGAGGACGAAGACGGCGGCCTCACCTCTCCCGACGGAGATCCGGGGAACACTTCAGTGAGTCTTTGTTTTGTTACACTATTTGTTGCCTTTTTTACAGGCCGCGTTTTTCATTAGTCCAGAAAAATGACTCTCATCGCTCTTCAAACGATGCCCCTCTCCCGTCGCATCGCGTTTGTCACTGTTTGACTTGCGCAGTCAGACAGAAAGTAATTAATTAGACTATTGACTCTATTGAAGTGTATCACAGCTCCGCTATATGAACTGGTTTATGAAATGCTGTACTTCAGCCACCAGGGCTCATCACACACAGACGCAGGTATTTCTCGTAGCGTGATCTCTACTCTTTAATCGTACACAGAGGATTCCCTTTCTGCATCTCTCTCCTGCTGCTGATCCCATCTGAGAAGAGATTTGATCTCTCTGTGGCGCCGTGAGCGTTCTCTTAATATTTTCCACTGCACGCTTGTTTTTGGTGGATTTATTTGTCAGTTTGCTTCAATTCTTCCATCAAAGGAAGGTGTGAACTCTGAGTAGCACCTGCCTCTAAATAACCGTAGATGACCGTAGTTTGAGTCGGCCTGTGATTCATACAGACGAGGGATCACGTGACCTCCCACCCCGTCTTTGCGAAGGGGAAACGGTCTTGTGTTTGTTTCGTCCAGGAACTTTCCATCCGTGTCATGCTTCCTCTCCAGTACGCTGTTGTTCTCGGGAGTTAAGGGGGATGAGGGAGGCGGATGAGACAGGAAAGCTTTTGGGTCGTCCCCGTGTGACCCGTTTCCTGGAGCTCTGATAAAGTCGGAGCCGGGGCAAAAACACTGTGTCAACGCTGACGGATGTTCTCTCCTCTTCACAATGACAGTGAAACGTCTCCTGATCCTTGTGAACAGTACACATGCATCAAGAGCTGCCGCAGATCATTCTTATTTTAGTTGTGTCGTCTGTAGAATGTGACACGACTGGCACGAGTCCAGTACAAAGTCCTCACTGCATATCTTGTCTGAGCAAAATCTAAAAGATATTCAGTTCTCAATTATCTATAAGAGAGAATCGGCTAATTCTCACATTTGAGAAGCTGAAACTAAAAGCATTGTTTTCCACCGTGTCGGTGAAACTACAACAAGCTTCAACTTCAGAAGTTCTGGAAGCGGCCAGCTGTTTCCACAACTCCAATCTTTATGCTAAGCTAGGCTAACTATCCCGTGGTTACTTTTTGTTTGTTAAAAACAAACCAAAAAACACCCTAAGCTGATTAGTGAAGAAAAGATCCTAATCGTGATTAGGCAGTACCCCGTTTGGGATTGTACGTTGGCCCTTAAGCACCTGCAAGGAAAACTTGAACAGGCTGAGGTTTGTTATGCATTGAAATAAACACAATTTCAATTGTAAGGGACCGTGTAAGTGGTTGTGATTGGATGTCTGAGACAGAGCGTAGAGAGTCCTATAAAGCAAATAAAAACGAAATGTGTGTGTGTGGGTTTTTTTTCTGTCTGGTGTCTCCAATGAAAGACGCCCAGACTTATTTCTTTTTCTGGAGCTCAACGGATTCCTTTACATGTGCTCACAGTGTAGGGATCAAAGGGATCAAAGCTTAAATTTTATTGATGCTGAAAATGTACATTCAGCCATAACAGCAAAATGAAGATTCAACCAACTTCTGTGGTTATGCGTTTTTTTCGCCACAACAGAGACCGTTGCAGTGAGTGATTTTACAAACTCGCAATGCACTTATTGTTGTTGCCTGAAAGAGTTTGTCCCCTGGGATACTCCCTTTGACCGTGTGTGTGTGTGTGTGTGTGTTTTTAGGCGCGCACACACTGTATGTATTGGTTGTACCCAAGCTGCAATAAGCTCACTGAAATGAGCGAAAGCCTCCCAGGTGAATCCTTTGTTTTCTAAATCTGGAATAAACGTCGCTTATCCACTGGGGTAGCACCAGGTCATGAAATAATAAAGAGTCCTTCATGAACCTGTGACTTCATTGGGTGAATAACAACCTTTCCGCTGTGTGATCCTCAGGGAGGACGGCTATGGAGACTGGCTGAGGCTTTCTGGAGATGGAGTCCGATTCGCCAGGCGGCCGCGTCCCGGCAGATGGGCCAGCAGCTGGTGGGCAGAATGGGCAACAGAAAGGAATGCTGGCACGGGAAAACCGGCAACTTCTCATCGCTGTGGATTTCAAGGCATCGATCCACGTGTCTCTCTTTTCTTCCCCAGGATGGCGTGTTTGGCCAGTACTCGGTCAAGTGCCTTCTGGATCAGGACGTGCTGCTGCAGGAGGACGTGGAGCTGATCGAGCTGTTGGACCCGAGCCTGCTGACCCTCGGGTCGTCGGCCTCCGGCTCGTCCAGCCGAGCGAGCGTCCTGCCCAGACCCGGCCTCATAGCCAGGCCGTCTCTATGGTACGTTGTTAGGGAACAAACACGCCGATGGAACTGTGGGTGGGCTGAGTGATCGCTTCACCAGCCAATGTGAAGGCATTCCGATGCCTCGCCAAAAAGAAACGTGTAAAGTAAGAGCATTTAAACTTTGACTTGTGTCCCTGAGGGTTTGTCCCTTCGCCCTCGTCCCTTTATGGATCCAAACCGTCAAATAACCAGTGGGCCACCCGTGAACATTCCTCCCTGCTGTCATCACTCAGGGACATGGCGGGGCTGGTCGGCCTGGCTGCGGTGCTGCTGGGCGTCTGCTCCGTGTCCGAGGGCCTGTGGTCGCTGGTCGCGGCCCCGTGGGGGCTGGCGCTGTTGGGCTGGCTGGGGATGAGGGGGGTCCTGCTGTGGAGGCGGGGCCGCATGCAGAGAGCCGTCCACTCGCGGGCCACGCAGCTACAGACTCTGCTCCACAACAGCAAGACGCTAACCGGCCTGTCTCGTAAAGCCCTGCGGCTGGTGCAGGAGACGGAGGTCATCTCCAGAGGCTTCACCCTGTAAGTGTGCTGGTTTTTATATCTGCGCGTCACCCAATCACATCATGGTCGTATGCATTTCCTGTCACGTCTCCACTGGCTCCAGCCTGCTCTGTTAATTCAATCCAAGTGTGTGTTGGTGATTTGTAGTGCACGGTAGCTCTTGTCCTAGACCTCTATTTGTGTGTAGCTCTAGCATTGTCCATAACCCCCCCTCCTGCATTATGCTTTAATCGCACTAAGTTAAGGGGGTAGTTAGGCTTTTTGCAGGGAGTTGGATGAAAAGACCAATAACAAAATAACTGCATCCAACTAGTTTAGATTAGCTGCTGATTAAAGGCCCTCTGCTACGTCCATAGACCTTCCAGCACGGCCTTTTTCACTTCGTATGAATTAAACAAAGTAACGTGTAAAGTATTGAGCTTTTGAGGTGCTGGAAGGTACGTTCTCTTTACACAAGAGCCAGGCTAGCAATTTGACCCTGATTCCGGTCTTTGTGCTAAGCTAACCAACCGTAGCTCCATCATGAGAATGCTGTGGATCTCATCACGTAACTCCTGGTGAGAAAGCGGTGGAGCGCGTTCACTGAAACGCCGAACTACCCCCTTAATAGCATGTCACGCTGTCGTGTTCTGTGGCGCTTTCATTCTCTCAGTTTGTCGTTGTTTTCGTCTCTTGTGTCGTCTGTAGTCGTGTGCCGTTCAGTGTTCTGTGTGCCGCCCCCCCCCCCCCACACCCCTTTTTTACCTCTTTGGGACGTCTCAACAGTTGTATCACATTTCACTTGTCAAGTTTGCTCGACAGGGTGAGTGCAGCGGGCTCCTTTAGCAGGGCGGGGCCGGGGGCGGTGCCTCGCGGCCAGCAGCTGATCGGCCTGAGGAAGACGCTGTACCGGGCGCTCCGCACGGCCTTCAGAGCCTCGCGCCGGGCCACCTGTCACATGCTCAAGGCATATCCTTTACCGTGAGAGAAAGACTTTGAACATGTATGTCCTCAGGCGTTTCTTTCTGTCTCTTTGCAATGTCACAGAGGGAAACTATTCTGGATTTGATGTTATTTGTGGAAAACAAGACACAAGTTCCAACCAGCTTTTGTAAGCTGTGAGATCATCTCACATTAAAACAGGACTACGTATCTGTATTGTCGAGGGAAAGTGTAACTGGGTTTTTGTCTCTTTAGGTTAACAACTATTACTCAGCAAGAGGAGAATGTTATTACTGAAAAACCAGGTTGGAAATCCCTGATGTCATTCAGTTCAGAGGATTTGATGGCTTTTATAGCCATTAACAAACTATTTGAAGTAGAAAACAACACCCTATTAGTTCCTTTTATGAGACTCAGATGTTGTTTTAACGGAAGAGTGACGTGTCCTTGACCCCTCTCAACGTTCCCTCTGAACTCTGAGATCGATAACGTGACCAACTATGTGTCCGCGGTGCCTCTGAAGGAGCTGGGCCTCGGCCTGGGGGTCGAACACCTGGGTGACGAGCAGGCGCAGGAGCTGACGGACGACTACAGCCTGCCTGCCCTGAAGGTGAGGCTCAAGATGTCAAAGACGGGGGCAGCGGTTTCATGACGAAAGCCCTTAATGCACAAACGTTTGCTGCACCTCCTCAAGATGCTGTTCCAGCTGTGGGTGGGGCAAAGCTCCGAGTGCTTCCGACGACTCGCGCTGCTCCTGTCGCCGCGAAGAATAGAGGAGCCACAGGAGGGGGAGAGCGACGGCGACGCCTCCCCCCCTCCCCTGCTGCACCGCTCCATCGGCGCAGTGACGGAGCCCCTCCATCACGCTCTGGCCAGCTGCCTCTGCGAAGTGCAGCGCAGCTTCGACTTCCACCGACACTTTGAGACCCAGCTGAAGGCGCCGGGCTCCGACAGGACGGGGAGGGTCAGGGAGAAATGCAGAGAGCTCAACACCCTTCACTCATCCATCCGGAGCCTGCAGCTGCACCTCAAGGCTCTGCTCAGCGAGTGAGAGACACACACACACACACACACACACACACACACACACACAATCCTGACCACCTCGTTCTACACCCCCCGTAGGAGGAGATGACATGTTAATGACCAGTGAGCGGAAACTGGCTCACTCCACCAGCAAAGCAGTGATATTTCATAATAAAGAAATAAATGTGTCAGGTTGCAGGGATGCACTCGAAAACATGTCCAAACGTGAATCAAAGTTCCTGATCGACAATAAAAAAGACAGATATGAAAAAAAACTCTAGGGACATTTGTGTTTTGGGTGAAGTAGATTGTCAGTGAAGCCGTTAATCCTCACGGATTCACTTATTCATTTTTAACAGCAATTACAAAGAAGGAGATTAAAAGAAACCGATTAGTCGAAGAAGGATTTATGAATTCACCAATTGTGGAAACCTGCACAGAAGATTTCCCTGCATTCCACGTGTCCTGAATATAAACGTTGCATTAACCTTGAGCTCCAGCCTCAATGTTCATTGTTATGAGCACACATCAAGTCCGTAACAAGAAGTAGGAGAGATTTATACACCAGCAGGTGATCGCATTTTCATTTTTTCATTTGACTTCTGTCAGATCTGGTGTTTTAACAAACCGATTGAAACAGTCTTCTTTCTATCGTCAGGATGATCATCCTGGAGGACGACCTGGAGAAACTGATGGTGTCCAAGGAACCGACTGAGTTGACGCTGGAGGGCTACCAGGACCTCAGCGACCGGCTGCACCAGCTGCAGCCACACATGCAGGCCAGCTCGGGCTGCTGGGAGGACACCGTGGGGCAGGTGCAGCGCATGCTGAGACGGGTCCACGCCTGCCCAGGTGACACCTGCTTCAGCCGAGTATCAGTCTCTGCATTTAAACACCGACTTCCTCCTTCCTTTACCACCATTCAAGACTATTGACCTCGCAGTGACGTCAGTGCCGCCCCCCTCCCCCTCTGTAGATAAAGCCGAGGGTCCGGAGCAGTGTGGTCCCGCCGTGCCCGAGATGCCCGTTGCCCCCCCGTCCTACCCGTTGATCCTGGACAGAGACCCTGTGCCAGAAGAGCTGGTAAGAGGAACCGTCCTTCACTGCAAGAGTCCCTCATCACAGGAAAGATGGTTCTCTGCTCATTTAATAAAAATATATATCATTTGACAGGAGTGGGAGGCCTATGTGTCCGACTCTGACTCCGATGGCGAGGGCGGAGGGTCCTGGTCCGACACCTTGTCCCCGGAGGAACGGGAGCGGCAGCGGCGGGAGAGGGAGGAGTCCCGGCGCGTCCTGTCGGAGCTCAAAGCGGTGCTGGGCTTCCGTGCGTCGGAGGGCGAGAGGATGAAGAGGAAGCAGCTGCTGTTCAACGACCAAGGTCCGCACTGACCCGCGTCCCCCTCTGCCGCCTGTGAGGCTCCAAAGACCAGCACGCCAGAGTCCGACCGAGGACTTTGCCGACGTAGTTGTTCATGTGTCGTCAAGATGGATAATATACACTTAACTGCAAAGCAACTTTAGAACTAAAACAAAAAGAATGTCCTCTCTATAACTTGAAACTAACGTTCTGGATTAATGATGAATGTGTTAACAGAAAAGCAAAAATGTCATTGAGAAGCTGCAACCTGATATATTTCTTATTTTCTTGGAAAAAAAGATTAAAACAAACACAATGATTTGAAAAAACGGCCTCAGCACCATTCAAAAGCTCAATGTCACTTTTACATTTTTCCACTTTGTTCTGACGCAATGTAGACAATTAATTTAAAGTATGATTTGTAGATGAATCAATATGTTTAAATATATAAGTTGAGCATCCGATCACACATTTGTATTACACGGTGAAAGCGTGAAATCATCATTCTAGCTTCACCCTGAAAATGTCTGTCTTCGTCCTCGCAGCGGCTGCGACTCCGTCAGCTCCCGACGAGAGTCCTGACACCGTCACGACGCTGCTGGAAGCTCCGACTCCTCTGGGATCAGCAGAAAGGGGCGATGACGAAGGAAACCATCTCTCTGAGTGCTCCGCGGGAAACGGAGGGGAGGCACTCGACGCCTCAGCGGAGCCGGTGACGGAGTTCAGCTGCGGTCCGGAGGAGAAGGACGGGTATTTGGGAGGAACTCTGGTGTGTGCGAGAGGAGGAGGTGGAGCGTCCGAGCTGCACCAATACGACGGCGGCCTGGAGGAGGGGGGGAGCCAGAACGGCCTGGACTGCTGCCTGAAGCCCAAAGGCCCCGCTGTGTCCGTGATGGACAGGCTGACGGAGATCCACGGCTCCGAGGCCCTCAGCTTCAGCTCCGCCCTCGCCGCTCAGGTGGCGGCGCGTTCGCACTCGCTCATCGCCATGGAGGAGCAGACGTTCGGAGACGAGGAGGAGGAGGAGGAGCTTGTCGGAGAGGAGAGCGACAGGCGAACCCCCCGGAAGGACTGAAGCTAAGCCCCGCCGAGGAGCGACTGTATTTATGTCTGGTGTCTTCTATCCACGGGTCTGTGTTCCATTCTTGCTGTTTCTGGTGTGGAGGCGTCACCCATCCGTCCCTTTTACTGCACATTACTACCCGCAGTTATTTCTGCTCGCTCGCTGTTCAAACTCAGGTACCAGAACCACTCAAAAATATAAATATAACCTCTCGTTGTTGAGGTCAGAAGAGCAGAATGTCTACAGTCTACACAGTGCGCGTTCTTCAGCAGCTGTGGAAACTAGTGTTGATTTAAATGAAAATATAATGTTTTAACTGCGGTTTTCAAAACACTGTAATCTTGAGTTACTGTCAGGAGGTTTTGGGCTGCAGGACTTGATTTGGCAGCAGTCAGGTACAGAGGTGCTTTGTGGCGATGTGAAAATACATGTACCTAAATAATGCAAACAAAACGTAGTTGAAGTATTACAAATAAATCGTAAATCATAGGAGCACATTGGAGTATTTGTAAAACAAACAAAGAATCAAAATATAAGATTTGGGGAGCTTAACTTGTACTTAAGTCAGACAGTTACGTGCCTACACACGTAGTACGAGTTCTGCAAAAACAGGAAGCAGAATGACATTTTTATAATTGCCCCATTATTTTTGTCCGATTCCACTTACCGGACTGGACACAACGGGGGTCGTACGCACGGCCCACCGAACACAACACTATTGTATCTAAGAACATGTCGACTGAAACGGTCCCTTTATGTTTACGGGGGAAACACCTCACATACTGATGCGTGTGCTGCTGTGAGGTGTGAAAATCAAATACCTGTGTGGGTGAAGTAATCAGAAAAAAGTGGGGGTTCATTTTCACTCATGTGAGGACGATCAATAAGAGTTTGATGGTGTATTCTCTCCCTCCTTCCCTGTCTGACTTGTCACCATGTCTGCCTTGTCCTGACCCCTCCTGACCCCCCCCTCCTGCATTTTCCAATGTTAAATAAAGGTCCCAAACAGATCACTCTATCCCGTAGTTTTTTTTTTCCTGCAGCTTGTGTTTCAGAGGCTCTTGTAGGTGATACGAAGTTGAGGAACAGGTTTGGTGAACGACTTTTGTCTCACACACAAACAGCTGCTGCTCCACTTTGAAGCCGACCCGGCCTTTGTGTTATTCGGCCTTAATACCGAGTTTTGAGGCCTCTCTCGCAGACATTTTGAGCTTTTTTAACCCTCAAATCCACATTTCTCTAGATGTTATCTAAGGGAATTTACCCACACTACATGCTCATGCCACGACACCGCCTCCAGCACAAGATTAAATGACATAATCCTTAAAATAATTAGTCCCACAGGGGAGAGAATTTACAGCATTGTAGGTTGAAGTGCAGACAAGAGAGTAAATAGAAACGAGATCAAAAAACGTTTAAAAATATACATTTCTATTTCTATTTAAATTTTATATGTACATTTAACATTTACATTTAGCATTTATATTTACATTTAAGCTTTATATTTAACATTTAATTTACATTTAGATGAATCATTTATATTAGTTGACAACTTTGTGTTGTGCCAAACATTATCCTTGGAAAAGTTATTGCATGAATTTACATGAATTTCTCTCTGAATGTATGAAAAAGTGACATGAATATTGTCGTGCTTTTTTTTCTTCATATAATAATGCTAAATGTACCAAAACTGAGCAGGATTTTAGAACGTGTGGCAAAAATGTCTTAAACTCTCTGCGTACTGCAAAGACGTCGTTGAAAACTGACCAAATGCTTACCAAATACCTAAACACGTGCACTTGTGGGGGAGTTTTTTTTTTACGATTTTACATACAGTAAACCTGTGGCAGACTGGGAATTTTCTGGTCAAAATATGACTGGTCACTGTGTCTGCCATCTGGGCTGTGCAACGCTGTGACCTCTCTCTCACACACCCATCGGAAAACATGAAATGAAGTTAAACCATGGCTTATTACAGAGGTTAAGCCACGCCCCCCACCCTTGAACACAATGGGACCTAATTGTTTTTTTAAAGATTTTTTTCAATAAAGTGGCATCTTCTCATCAAATTATTTACATATCGATATGGAATACACCATTTTCTCACATTAAACACACATTACACAAAATACGATTTGATGCCACCCATATTCAAAATGTTTTGGTCTGTTCAAAGTTGTGTCACACAACTTTGTTGTTGTCTTAATTAGGTTGTCTACTGTTGTGTGTCCTCCACCTAGTGGTCAATTTGGGGATTGCCACTCTTTTTGGGGGGACAATAATGTTTGTTTTTTGCTGTAGAATACTGTTTTTGAGATTAATTATCTTTCGGGGTTGAGATTGAAAAATGTTTTTGTACTTTGTTAAACGTTTATTCTATTCATTTTTCTCAAACATCACATATTTCGTTAATGCTAAACATCTGATATTTACATGATGCATATAATATTGTAATCCGTTCGGTCCATCAGTTTGTTTTGCACCCACAGGTTAATTTACCGGTTGGGGTCACCCCTCCATGCACGAGACCCCTTTAGCTGATTCGGCATGTTTTACTTTGTGCTGCCTTCAAGTGCTCACATTTAAATTCCCGTTTTTTTGAGTAAAAAAACCTAATTAATATATGCACAAAGAGGCCCGAATCCTCAATGTTCTCTGTGATGTAGTTAATTTGCGCCCTATCAAGAGCCATTTCGATACAAATACAATCAATAATACTACCAATATTAATAATTACAATAATATACAGACGATTAAGAATGGTGTTGACCATCCCCGGATTTAACGAGTGTCCCTGAAGGCAACCACACACACAGCACTCCCACAGTGCATCGCGCTTCCCTTTCCAGCAGCGCCTGCGAACATGGCGGACGTGGTTGCGGAGCAGGTAGCGGACCAGATAGCAGTCCCGGCCCGGGAGCAGAACGGGGAGGCGGGGGACAGAGCCGAGGCCGACCCCGTGGGGGAGACAGCAAAAAAGAAGAAGAAAAAGAAGAAGAAGAACAAGTCCGCAACGACAGGTGAGGCTGGCTCCACCAGTTTATTGCTAAAAGGCTAGCTAAGCTAATAGTTGTCATTACTGCTAGTTAGCTACAGTTAGCTGTGATAAGCACGGAAGTAATGGGAGGTGGATTTCAAAGTAAAGGTTACCTGTTTTAGTTTTCTTTTATGGGTTGTTGAACAAATTATTAACCCGATTTGTAAGGACCGTAACTTTGGTATTTATCCATCAGATGAAATACGAATGTTTCCAAAATACGTTTCTTGGAGTGCTGCATCTGCCAAATTGAACTGACAATATAACGATACCGTCCGGACATAACACATACAGTATTTCTATAAAGTTGTTGGAAATCTGGACGTATTAGAAAAGTATTTGTAAATGTATGAAACTGATGGGGCATTTCACTCAGAGCATTAAATTAATTTAACACCAACTTCCACATTCCATAGGAATACAATCCAAAACATGCGTTGTCAGTTCCTGTTTGTGCTTTACATAAACAACAATTTACACGTGTACTCCTACTCAAAGAAATTCTTTGACAGGTTTACAATTTTGTGACCGTATCTTTGGTATTTATCCATCAGATACGAATGTTTCCAAAATACGTTTCTTGGAGTGCTGCCTCTGCCAAATTGAACTGACAATATAACGATACCGTCCGAACGAAACACTTACAGTATTTCTATAAACTAAAGTTGTTGGAAATCTGGACGTATTAGAAAAGTATTTGTAAATGTATGAAACTGATACGCATTTCACTCAGAGCATTAAATTAATTTAACACCAACTTCCACATTCCATGGGAATGCAATCCAAAACATGCGTTGTCAGTTCCTGTTTGTGCTTTACATAAACAACAATTTACAGTAATTCTTTGACAGGTTTATAATTTTGAAAGAAATCGCACCCCACTTTCTCGCAGATTTGTATTTTCTATGTTGCAAACTCCATTTGCATTCCCACATTTTGGTGGACATTTTATCAGCAACAATGTCGCTGAGATTGTCTGACTCGGTTTGCCAGTCATATTTTGCATGTCTCGTTTTGCTTTTTCTTTTTTGTGTCCCACCATACGACCACACCTGCTCAGGGGTGAGGTTTTATTTTGAAAATCACGACTGGAAAGGCTGTGCAAAAACATGTGCGGCTTGACGCCGCGCCTCATTGGCCATGCGGGCTGCGGCCGGTCAGGGTGGTGCCTCCGTCAGGCCTTATGAAACACGCCAGGCTTCGCTCAGAGCCTCGGCTTGCACCACTGACATCTGACACAGCTGATGTAAAAAGAAACGCGGGGTTTATTTTGAGAGGAATCAGGAAGAGCTGATCGCTCCTCTTAGGAGCTCTGGTGCTCTGACCCTCTGCCAAGTTTTCCTCTTTCGTAATTCCCTGTTTGTTGTGCAAGTAAAGGAAATCTATAAGAGGGTTTCTTTTAATACATCCACCACATGCTCACATTATTAATCTATGGTTCCTTAAGGGCCTGACAGACTAAAATACCTGAAATATGGAGATATTCTTTTACTATACAGAAAAAAACAGCGAGGCATTAAAATGGTTATGTCATAAGAACAACGTGCAAAGTCCTACTTTTAGAAAGTCTAAAAGGAAAAGGGCTAAAAGGAAACCTCGGGGACAAGTGGCGTTTACGTTCAAGGGAAAGCAAACGCTCTCAGTAATTATATGAGCTTCACTTTCAGCGGCTATTTCTGCTGATGTTGACTCGACCTTCTTGAACATCAATTGTTGGAATGGCTGCAGCTTTGAGCGAGAAGTAATTAATGCCCAAGTGATCCCCCACAACTCACTCAATGCTTTCCCTTAAGAAAAAAACGACCACGCTGACCATTTCCTAATGGAGGCTGTCCAGATTAGTGCGCATTTGTCGTAGCTGCTGCAAACATATACGTATATGTTCTTAATAAGGATGCAGAGATAATAATGATCTTTTAATGCCACTTTTGTTTCCCCACGTCACCCTCTAAGCCGCTTTTTGGCGGCGACTATCTCACGTGAGCGCTACGATGCACTGCAGTGTTTATGTGCGCCTGTTGCTGATCATTCTCTGGTGGCTGCAGGCGCTGAGGAGGAGGCTGACGTGGTCGAAGTGGTCAAACAGCTGGAAAAGCAGGCGATAGGAAACAAAGAGAATGAGGAAGACGGCGAGGAAGGTGAAGTCCGTTGCGCCGCATATAACCCGCGCCACATGTGAGCTGTACCATTGGTGGGCGGTGTAACTTCAGTATGTTCACTCGCACAGATGGAGACGATGGAGAAAACTCAGCAGGGAAGAAGAAGAAGAAGAAAAAGAAGAAGAAAGGACGTGAGTCCATCGCACGTTATTTTGGCAGAGCTGTGAAGAACATCTCCTTGAGCTTTTACCGCTTTGTGTTTGTCGTCCTGAATTCAAACATTTGATTTTTTTTCTTATTTCCTTCCAGCCAAATGTCAGACTGAGATTCCATCTGTGCCCATCTGTGATTTGTACCCGAGTGGAGTTTTTCCCATCGGACAGGAGTGTGAATACCCGACCTTACAGGACGGGTAAGAGGAGAACACACTGCCGCACCTGCATCCATGTTTGGGCGCGTTCCCTTCACGCTTCGTCCATCCTGTGGAACCAAAAGAGATCCTGCTGTGATCCAAACAAATGTTTCCCATACACCGTTCCGCTGGCTGCTTCTATATTCATTTCAATTTCTCTTTTCCCCTTTTGTCTTTCTGTGAAGCCTTTTAAAATAATATCTTTGTTCAAACACAAAATCCAAATCAGTGGGAAGCACCTCTGGGTCGGTCGGTCCTGCCTGCAGGTTTTCCAAATGTTGTGGATACAGTTTTAAATGAAGTGTCATGAAATTCCATCTTGCCACATATTTTGTCACCAAACTGTCCCAGAAAAGCGTTTGCATGGTTTGTTATTTGAGGGTTGTGGTGGTGATGATACTGTGTGTCTCTGTGCAGATAAACCCGTTGACCCTGGTCAGGGTGGTGCTGCTTGTTATCTTGTACGAACAGTTACTGTCGTCGGGGTTAAAGGTTAGATTAAACATGAAAGGCTTTTTTAACTCCGTTTGAGAACACATCACCCGTCATACTGTGCACTTTTGTAACAAAATATAGAATAGGTGACAAAAGCAATTGTTTCGTATTTTTAAATGTTTCTTCTTCCTGTAAAACATCCGACGTGTTTTATGCAAGTGACGGCTTTTTCAACAGCAAATATGACATCAGTCAAGCTGCCCGTTTACTTTCACTCCCGCCTCCCCGTGTGTAACCGCGTCGCCTTCTCCTCCTCCCAGTCGCAGCGCCGCGTGGCGTACGACCCACGAGGAGAAGCGGGTGCTGGACAAGGCCAACGAGGAGGTCTGGAACGACTTCCGACAGGCGGCCGAGGCGCACAGACAGGTCCGCCAGCACGTCCGCGGCTTCATGAAACCCGGCATGACCATGATCGAGATCTGGTGAGGCTGATCGCTTTACGTCCACCTCGCCCGCCGTGCTGTCAGCGCGATAATTATATATCTATAATAGAATATAGAATAGAAAAAGTCTCTTTTATAACCGACAAAAAGACTTTTCAAACAAAGAGCAGACCGAATTCTCCCTGCGTCGTTCTCTAACGTCCCGTTAAATGGCAGCGAGCGATTGGAGGACTGCTCTCGCAAGCTGATAAAGGAGGACCGCCTGGACGCCGGCTTGGCCTTCCCCACCGGCTGCTCGCTCAACCACTGCGCCGCCCACTACACCCCCAACGCCGGGGACACCACCGTGCTGCAGTACGACGACGTCTGCAAGATCGACTTCGGCACGCACATCAACGGTACGGTGAACCTTTGCGCCGCGCTTTACGTGATGATTTATTGGCTTCGTTTTTCTATTCAGGTCTTCTGAAAATGTCCGACGAGCTAAACGCTGCTCGCTGTGTGTTTGCAGGCAGAATCATCGACTGTGCCTTCACCGTCACGTTCAACCCAAGGTACGACAAGCTGCTGGAGGCCGTGCGGGACGCCACCAACACCGGAATCAAGGTGCGACCGGCGCGCCGCGCGCTTAGGCTCTGACGCGGCGCTCCCCTTCCGCTCACCACTTCCTGTCTGTCCTCCGCAGAGCGCCGGCATCGACGTGCGTCTGTGCGACGTCGGAGAGGCCATCCAGGAGGTGATGGAGTCCTACGAGGTCGAGCTCGACGGCAAAACTTACCAAGGTGGGTTTCTGCCGATGTGTGTCGCTTGTCGTTTTCCTGTGGGACGACCGGGGGGGGGGGGGCGCCGTTCAAAACGCCGCGTCGCCTCTTTATTCATGAGGCCTTTTTATTGTTCCGTTCCAGTGAAGCCGATCCGAAACCTTAACGGCCATTCTATCGGTCAGTACCGGATACACGCCGGCAAGACCGTGCCCATCGTTAAAGGAGGAGAGGCAACCAAAATGGAGGTGAGTTGATTCTATATTTGATCCAACACTGAAATATCTCGTCAATCCCATTGTGGTTTGTGCTCATCAGTTCTTTCTACATTCCGGAGACTCACTTGTTCCCGGGAATATTATGGCTGATTTTCTAAGTGAAGCCTGAAACGACAAAGCTATGCAGATTCATGCAAACCTCAGAGGGCCTTTTCTCTGTTACCGACGGATTGTTCTTCCCCCGCAGGAGGGAGAAGTTTACGCCATCGAGACGTTTGGCAGCACGGGTAAGGGGATGGTGCACGACGACATGGAGTGCTCCCACTACATGAAGAACTTTGACGTGGGCCACGTCCCCATCAGGTAAAAGCTTTGTCTCTAATTCACTCACCTGGGACTCGCGTCGTGTGACACACACACACATATTCTGGTGCTCGTAACGCCGACACGCTGCGTCCTCCCCAGGCTGCCCCGAGCGAAGCACCTGCTCAACGTGGTCAACGAGCACTTCGGCACGCTGGCGTTCTGCCGCCGCTGGCTGGACCGCCTGGGCGAGACCAAGTACCTGATGGCGCTGAAGAACCTGTGCGACCTGGGCATCGTGGACCCCTACCCCCCGCTGTGCGACACCAAGGGCTGCTACACTGCGCAGTTCGAGCACACCATCCTGCTCCGGCCCACCTGCAAGGAGGTGGTGAGCCGAGGGGACGACTACTGATGGACCCCCCCCACACCCCCCTCTTTAACGACAACACACCCGCCTTCACCTCCGTCACACAGCGCCTCCACACCCCTCCCCTCCCCCACAGAACCCCAAAAAAGAGCCCCAAAAAAAATGGAGTGATGCCAAATGCCGCCGTGTCCCACCCACAGTGCACCGCTCGCAGCTCGCGTGGGAGGAGGGGCGCGTCCTTGCAGAGGTTATGCAACATTGCCGCGGCAACGGCGCCTATCCGGTCGAAGGAAGGAGCTGTCGGCGGTGTTTGCGCCCCGTGTTTTACAGAAATAAGTGTTTATTTAAGCTGCTGCTGAATCTAGAGCGCGCCGAGTATTCAGAGAGACGGTGAGCCGCTTTCTTTTTAAGTTTCCTCCGGACCCGCCGGCTCGATCTACGCCAAACTCTGCAAACGCGTTTAGCTCCGGGTGTCTTATTAATGAATCCTCACGCAGCTGTATGTTTGGTTCTGTTGAAACCAGGTGGTGGGCGGGGGGGGGCGGGCTCTGTCCCCTCTATTTGTTTATTTGAAATTGGCGCTTCAGTTTGTTCCTCAGTTTAAAAAAAAAAAAAGTTTGATTTCCTCCCTGAAAATGTTTTTGTAAGAAAAAAGTTGATTAAAATGGTTTTGCGCATCGTGGGTTTTGGTTTCTTCTGAGAAGTTCTGTGTATATTTAACAGAACATGAATAACAATTAACTGTTTTAATGAGAGCATATATCTTAATAAATCCACTGAAGTAAACGACTTGTGTCGGTGCACTATGGGACTCTTAGGTTTGACTCATGCGTGTTGGTCTGGTCCCGTGTGACAGGAGGGACTGATTAAACACACGCATGTCACAGCAAAGGGACTCTTATTGTGTGGTTTTGTCACATGACACAATCCTTAATCAGCCTCCTGATGGGTCACATGTGTCAGGTGGACGGACACCAGATTCAGCCAAAGGTTTCTTTGATACCTTCATTTAAGACATTTGACTTAACAAATTTCTTTCTGTAACATTTTTTGACCCACCATATATTTTACAATTTTCGCCACAAAAAGCAGAGACACTGGCAGCTTTTGTAGAAAAATGAAAAAATATTCTCATTTATTGAGGTAATTTTCTCAAAGAAATTGAGGTAACAACTTGCATAGTATTACTTTCATGAAGACGCTCGCTCCCGTCGAGTAGTGACCGCCAGCGAAGGAAAAAACGTATGAAGTGTGCTTTGAAGGGAACATTGTTGAGGTGAATACCTTGTTATGTTGTACAGTTTTTCTCCAGTATGGAGATAAATATTCATCTGTATACATTGCAGACATCTGGATATTGTACTAAATAAAATTTAGCAAAAAAAAACAGCATGTACACATACTTAGTGGTGAACAACAGTCATCACTGCTGGTGTCGAACAATCAGCCAATGGCCGCTTTTTTAAACCCTCTGAGGACGATCGTATAAAAATACATTCACATTCTGAAGGCTGGTCGTCTGAGTGGGACTTCAGCCCCGAACAATCCGCTGAGTTGATATGAGATATAAAAATATACTCAACAAAAAAGGGCACTTTTACAGAACACTAGTCTGGTTCTCACATGGGGAGTTACTCTGGAACAGAGAGGAAGGCGGGAGCATTTACCCCCCCCTGCCACCAGCTTTTTTTTTCCAGAAAGAATAAACGCAGCCGAGAAAATGAACAGCTGAGAGGTTTTCCCATAAACCCCCCCCCCCCCCCTTCCCCCTTCCCCCCGGCTTTGGTTGAGGTTTGCTCCCCCCCCCCCCTGGCTTTGGTTGAGGTTTGCCCCCCCCCCCAACAAAATCATAAACCCCATTTAAAAATACAGCAACAAACCGTTTCTGTAGAAATGAGTGCATGACGTTACATCCAGTTCTGTGACCACTTTCTAAAGTGACAGACATTTTCACTTGATTTAAACAAAAACAAAACGTCATTCACAAAAAGAGCAGCCAGATGCACCTGTTGGGCCTCCAGAGGACGCTCGAGTCTGTTGGCTGCTACTGAGAACACATCTTGGCTGATACTCTTTAATAAAATACACTTGTAGGCAAATCACAAACGTCACCCCTTTCTTTAAAAAAAAATATCTACATATAAACATGTAAGTTCACAAAGCAGAACCAGGCTTTAGAAGGAGTTTTTCCCCACTTATTTAGAAAAATAGACTAAAAAAGACTTATTTTCCTCCCGGGGTCTGAAAATGCCCAAAGGAGGGGAGGGGGAGCCGGAGGAGGAGGAGGAGGAGGAAGAAGGGCACTCTGGTCCTATAGCGGCCGGTCTTTGTCCTGAGTCACCCGCTGTGTGTAGAACAGGATGTAGGCCTGAGCGCGGCACACCTCCTCCACCGAGCACACGTTCAGCTTCGAGTCGTTACAGTGAACCCAGAAGCCTGCAGAATGGGAAAGAGGGGGGTCGGGGGCGGCGGTGATTAGACAAATCTACTCCGCCAAAGAAAAGCGCCGCATGCAAGATGACCTCCTCTTCACTTACCTCCCTCTGTGTTGTAGCAGTAGGAGGTGTAGTGGCCGGAGCCGAAGCCCTTCCCGTGGTGCATCACCACGGCGGAGAGGTCGTACAGGAAGTGCTTGGGGCGCGGCGAGCCCGGGGCGCCGGGGCTGGCGGGGGCGGAGCAGGGCGCCGCTTTGGGCGAGGGCTCGCGGCAGCAGTACGGCTCGATGTCGAGGAGCTGGTCGAAGCGGACGTGAACGCCGATCTTCTCCCGGTGGTTCCGCCCGGACCACCTGAGGACGGGTCAGGCATTTAGACGGAGGCCGACCAGAACGTATCAAACATACAACACATCAAAGGCAGGTCTGACATGTGTTAAAGCTGCATTCTCTGTAGTGACCAGCAGGGGGCGACTCCGCAGGTCACATAGACGTCTATGAGAAATGACCCAACTTCTCTCTTGATTTGTTCCCTCAAGTCTGAATCTCTAGTTCAGTTTCTTTAATGCAGCATTATGAATTATCAATTTGAAGAGACAGTTCTCTTCAGTTCAATGATTTAAAATCTTCCCCTCTGGTCACATGGCCGTCGCTCTATTCTCAAGACAAACTTTCGGCCCCTATTTTTCTAACCTGATCGGCTCCGTGTGACTAGAATGGCTTTTGGTTCCACGCACCGACCCGCTCGGGTCCAACGGGATCCTACCTGAAGCGCTTGAGGTGAAGCCGCAGGACCTGAGGCAGTTTGTGCACCACCAGCCGTTTCTGCGCCTCGGTCAGGAGGAGCGGTTTGGAGGAGGAGCGCCGGCGAGCAGCTGCACAAAGAAATCGAAAGGGTCAGAGGTGACGCGCGGTACAGACGTTACTCCCTGTGACCGGGAATCGGGTGCAAACCACGCGGGACGTTCCCGCTCTAAAATGTGACTGTGTGTTTACTCACAGTTGCACTGCTCGCAGGCGTAGATGTTTCCCTCCAGCGCTTCCGTCTCAGTAAACTTGGCGAGCATTTCCGTCAGATGGCACGAGGCCTGAGCGGCCGACTCCCTGCTGTTGCTGTGGTAGCGCTCGGGGAACTCCAGGGACAGATCCCAGAAGGGCTCCACGGTGTTGGAGCGATGGTCGCACGCCAGGCACGTCACCTGCACCCCCCCAGGGAGGGGGACCAGAGCCGTTAAGAGGGCGCAGAGGCACGTTTGTGCATCTTACGCGAACCTGGGCGCCTGTTTCTAATGCAAAGTGGTGAAAAGGCGGCGGGCCGAGGCCACACAGCCCTCCATTGAGCGGGAGCAGGTGTCCCGCTCGGCCCCCACAAGGAGACACTAATCTCTTGTCCGCCAAAGTTAATCCTCTGCATCCAAAAACTGTACAAAAGGAGTTATTTCTTTTGATTTGAGGACATTGCAATTTTGAGGACTGAAGAAAGAACCATGAATATCCTTTTTGAAGCAACAATAAATTAACATTGAAACAACGTAATTTTTAGTTTAGGAATTTAGGATTCTATCATTGAGTAATCTGGTAAAAAAAATACAAGCGCAGGTGGCCAACATTTACTCACAAAAATGATTTCAGTTTAGTGTAATAAAATGCAATAAGTGCTCATAGTGGGGACGTAGAACCCAGACAAACCATTTATCACTAGTTTTGCAGGAAGAAATCCTGAAAAGGTTTGTGTTATGACCGAGTAGAGCTGAAAATTCCCTTAATAAGTGTGTGTGTGTGTGTGTGTCGTACCTGGCTGAGCAGCTGGCCGTGGAAGATGGTGTTGACCACGCTGAGCACCTGCTTGATGAGGCGTTTCTGCGGGACCCCCGCGGTGGTCGTGTGCTTGCCGGTGCTCTCCAGCTCGTGCTGCACTTTGTCCAGCAGCTCGCACAGGAACTCCTGCGCGTCCTGCTGGGCGTAGCCCCGGAACGCCGGGATCAGCTGCCACACCGAGTGGAGCATGGCGAAAGGCGACACCAGCGCCCACTTGCCCGACCACATCACCTGGAACAAGGTGTGCAGCTCGTGGCAGAGCGAGATGTGCTTTGAGCTGGGCTCTTTGGGTTGTATCAGCTCCATGCTGCGGGTCCGGGAGGCGCCGCCGCTCAGCCCCGCCCCGGAACCCGAACTGGCCTGGAAGCCCCGCCTCTGGATCAGGGGGGACGGACTCCCCGCCAGTTGGCCGTGGACGGCGGACGCCAGCAGCTCCAGCGCCTGCGTCAGATCCAGGCGCAGGAAGCACTCCCTGAAGACGAGGAGGTGGCTCAGCACCTGCAGGATCGAGTTCATGTAACACGTGTTGCCCAGGTTCCTCAGGCCCGTCACTCCGGGAGTGACTGTGGGACGCCGTTTGAAGGGCGAGCCGCTCTGCTTGGCGCCCTGCTTTCGGGGAACGGGGGTTCGGGCGGAACAGGGCGTCGCTGAGGGGGCTTTGGGCCTCGGTTTGCTGGCGGAGGAACGCGTGCCGGGTTTGGGAGCGGGCTGGGCCTTTTTCGTTCTCCCACTCCTCCTCGGGGGAGCGGCGGCAGGGCTCCGGGTCCTGGGCCTGCGGGTGAGGGAAGGAGTCACGGGGGGTTTTGTCCGATTGCGCGTCCTCTGAGACGGCCGCGAGAGCGCCGCCTCCGCCTCCTGCTTGCTCTTCCAGCGTAAACGGCGGCTCTTCCTGAGAGGGGCGTTCCCCAACTCCTCCCGTAGCTGCCTCTTTACAGCGCGCCTCCTCTCCCGCGCCTCCCTCTTCAGCTCCTCTTCCTCCTCCCTCTTCCGCTCTTCCTCCTCCCTCTTCTTCCCGCAATCGGTCAGTGCGAACCACAGGCGGAAGACGCGTCCCATGAGCGTCCTGCGGCGGTGCCAGAGCGCCGTGAACATCCTGTCCTCGTCCCTCAGCTGCAGCTGGCGGGCTCCGGACGGCATCGGGGCATCGGGGGCGGCGCTGGCCGAGCGGAGGGTGCGTCCGCTGCGCGTGGTGACCTCGTAGCGCTGGCTCTGGATGGCGCTCAGCGTACTGCGCAGCAGCTTCAGGTCTCCGGTGGCGTTGTCGTTCAGGACATAGTCGTCGCACAAGTAGCAAAAGACGTAGAGCTCGTTGACCTCCATCGCCAGCGGGTGGTGCTGCTGCTGGAAGTGCTGCAGGGCGTGTTCCTCGATGTAGCGCCCGCACGCCACGTGGGCGCAGCCCAGGCAGGCCCATATGGACTCGCTGGTGTTGCAGTCGACACAGTGCCACTTCTGCGGGTTGAGGATGGAGTGGTCCGGGGCCAGCCGCAACCGCCCCACATGCTTACACCGGTCCATTGCACGCGCCCGCCCGGGCCGGCCGGTCGGCTGTCAGTCAGTGACTGACCGTCTGTGTGCAAGCCTGCGTGTGCTGTGTGTGTGTGCGCCCGTGTGTGTGTGTGTGTGTGCGTCTCAACGTCTCACACCGGCAGTTGGGAAGTGGGACCCTCCCCGGGCATGATGGCTTCTAGGAGGCGGGAGAGGACAGATGTGGTCAGTCAGGACGAATGAGAAAGCAGAGAACTTGCATTCAAATGGAGCGAGTTGGATGTATGAGGTTTACATAATTACTGTGCGGTCGCCGTCTATTTGAGCATCCACCTCTAAAAGCCACGTTTGGAGTTTTTCCACATCGTAATAACATCCTTTACTTTTTCCTGGAAACAATAAAGTCAAAGTCGAACATCCAATGACTGTTTTATGAGGCAATAGCTTCGCACAATTAATCGCGGCAAACTGCCGGCTTCAGTGTTTCCAGAAACACGGGCCAACAGATAAGTAACGCGAGTGTTGCCAGGCACCTCCACAGAAAAACAGAGAGGTGGTGTTAGCTAACATGACCCTGCTGAACTGGGATGTAAAACCATCAACGAGACGAACCTTTGAGCTGAAACTGAGTCACCAGGAAATAAAAGAGAACCCAGCTGGGCGCGATGGATGCAACTGAACTCAATCCAAAACCCAATATCAGTCTCCTCTCGGCAGCTGAGTATGTTGGGATCCTCGAGTGGGCTCGGCCCCATCGATCCACCCCACCGAGGTCAAAGTAGTAAGCTTGTGCGGCCTTTGTCTGTCTGCAGGACTACCTTTGCAAGAGGAAACGAGTGTGCAGCAACAAGAGAGGAAGGGAACGATGCCAGTGCAAGGAAGCATCGCGTTTCTAACTCTCTGCCCATCACTCCCACGTCCCTGCATGCAAATAAACACAAGATACGTCGGGTAACGTGTTCTTTTCGCGGGAGGGGGGCGTATTTTGTCAATCAAACGTCGCGTGTGCGGGACAGACGTCTGTAGAACCTGCGGGTGTCATCGCGATGTCACCGTGAGATCAGCGGCAAGAGGACGAGCCGACACGCGGGAGGTGATCAGTGTCCGACTCGAGGGAGAGTTTCCTCCAGAGTTTCTGATGACACTGAAGTTGTATCAGCCAAGTGGGCGCGCTTTGCCTGGTTTGTCCGTGTGGCTGCGTGGTCTCAAGTGGCTCCGGGTTAAATACGACAAATCAAAAACGCCATCAGCGTCTCGGGCCTTTCGACAAAGTGAACCGCATGACGGCGAAACGAGACGTGCGACCAAAGAGGTCAAAACAGCCCGACTTTTCCTCTCCTGCTGAGGTTAGCGCGCTACTGCTAGCATGTAATTGATACAGATGAGAGGAGTTGCGATAACAATATACATACATCCTACATAAAAAGCACATTAACCGCTTTGAAAACTAAGAATAACTGAACAGCGTAGTTTAAAACACAGCTGCACAAACCACGCGTCACGCGTGTCACATCCGCTGTTCGTCTCGTATTTATCAAAGAGATTAGTGAGCCATAGCTGCCCTGCTAACGTTAGCCCAGCATGCTAGCTAGCAGTAGCCCGCCGGGCTAACGTTAGCCCAGCATGCTAGCTAGCAGTAGCCCACCGGGCTAACGTTAGCCCAGCATGCTATATAGCAGTGACCCGCCGGGCTAACGTTAGCCCAGCATGCTAGTTAGCAGTATCCCGCCGGGCTAACGCTAGCCCAGCATGCTAGCTAGCAGTAGCCCGCCGGGCTAACCACGATAATCCGAACAAGTTGGTGCCTTGACGGGAGGTCAGCTCCCGGCGGCCGCCTCGGCGTTCCAAACAAACCGGCCGGGTGAGTCCAGTCGACAGCGAACGTACCACCGGCCTCGCTGTTCGGCGTTTATCACAAATGACAGCGTGTGGAGGGAAAAGCGAGCATACCGAGCCTCTCCTTCACGGCCAGGACTCCTCCGGTTCCAAAGGGACCGCCATCTTGTCAGTCCCTGTCGCGTGGTGTTGGCTCGAGCGCGTCCTCGATACGTGACGTTGTTGTTGTTGTTGTTGTTGTTTACAATGACGACGGAAGAGCGGAGGCGTTAACCTTTCTTCTATTAACACAGTTTACGTATATAAAGTTGCATTATACTGCCATTGTTTTGTATTTCTTTCACCCCTTGCTGTTTATAAGTTTAATGTCAAACTTGTTATTTGATTATTATGTGATTTGTTTTCATAGTTTCTATGTTAGTTATAGCGGTGCTTTAGTGGGTCATATATGTAAGTTATTACTGTTAATTGTTTATTGTGCGTTATGTCACGGGGTCACTTTTAAATTAAAACAATTAACAAGGCAGAATCACTGCATTTCACTAATAAAATCGATGTAATTTTATTCCGTGCCACTAGAGAGCGTCGTTGCATTATTTACAATCCCGTGTTGCCCCAATGACTTTAACACGATCCATCAAAAAATACTCCACTACTAGTGAAAATAAAACGTTCTTACATAAAACTACATATGTCCAAAATAATGCAAAATATAAAATTAAAGCTCAGAAAGAACCAACGATAAAAAAAAATCATGATTAAAGCATTTGAACAGCTACATATATAAAGCTAAATATTGTTGCTGATGAAGTTTCATCGGTTGCAAATTAATCACTTCTTAATTCTACAGTGATAATATTTATCAATATATTAATGAAACTGAGTAAAAGGCGAGACTTCGTAACACGTAGTTGTATTTCAGTGTTTGTGCGCGTGTGTTTTATCCTTCCCCCTGAGGGCCGGTGGAACCTTCTGAGGAGGTATTTTAAAGGGGATGCAGGTGTAGCGCTCCATGCTGGCTTAATGGGGGCTGGTGGATCTTACTGTGTAGATCCTATCGGCTTCTCCCAGAAAACAGCACGCATGTCGCGTTAATGTCTGCTGAGTCTTGTGAAATTGATCACCCACGGTGGTGTGATCATTACACAACGTGTACTAATATTAATCACAGTAATTTCACATGCAAACAAGAGAATAAAGGGAGGAGGCGGCCTCTCATTGAGGAAAGAGCGGCCCGGAGGAGAACTTTTAATCTCAACACACGCAACCGGCCTGCATGTGAAGAATCCCTCTCATGTACTGATTAGTGGGGAACTGATCCATCCGAGCCTCGTTAAACCCCCACTGAACAGGGAGGGGAGTAACATGTGCTGCTGTGTGTGTGTGTGTGTGTGTGTGTGTGTGTGTGTGTGTGTGTGTGAGAGAGATTAGGGGGCGTTTTTGAGTGACTTGGAGAAAGAGGTATGTGATGATGTGCCATGCGATGCCTGTGAATAACCTCTAATGTTTTTCTCCCTCCGTGTCTCCGGGGCCTTCACCGCCGTCATGTCCACACACGCTCCCCCCCTCCCCCCCACACACACCTTCTCATGTACTCTCGCATAAACACACTTTATTTTTGTCACAGTTACAATACTTTTGAGGCCCAATTCAATAACTTCCTTAAAAGCCCCGATCTGCTTTTTATTGAGTCAGATGTGGAGGTGAGTGCTGCATTAAGTAATATTGTTTTATTGAGACTGAACGCGGGTTTTCCGTAGCTGGACTTCTTGCGTTGTTGCTTCTTTTAGCAGCTCGTTTTGCTTTCACAGCCTATTTTAAAGGAAGGTTCAGTGTCGCTTTTGTTGTGACTCGTTGTTTTCCGGCAAACACGCTGATTAAACTCTGAACACTGAAACTAGAAGCTGACAATCTGCTGCTTTGGAAACTTCAGTTGTTTGTTAGACCTTTAAACCGGTTCTAGACAGATGTAGAGCCAGCAGCTGGTTTTGTTATGCTGGTTATCGTTCTGTATTTTTGACTCAACAGTGAATAAATAGTCCGCCACATAATCCCCATGAAAACATGTCATTCATTTTTACATGTAAAGGATCAAAACCAAGGGAGATTTATCCTGCAATTAGAGACCTTTACAGTGCTGATAGTTGGCAGATTATTTTACCCAAGCAAGCTGTTTTATCTTTTTTAAAGTCGTTGCACTAAGCTAAGCTAAGCTAAACAGCAAAAATGATATTGATCTCGTCTCAAGGAGAAGAAAAAAAAACAAGTTGATGATTTTCTGATGTCGTGGAACAACATTTTGTCATGAATAAATCACGACGGGAAAAAGACAACACGAAACTACAGCCGACCGGTCGGGTGTTTTAATCAGTTTATTGTTGTCTGTCTTGACTTGTCACGAGGGGCCTCGTCCGCCCCGTTGTCACGGTGATGCGCGATAACGCCGTCACGTCAGGCTCCTCGTTTTCACGGCCGTATAATAATCAGCAGCAGCAGCAGCGTCTCGATCACTCTGCTATGTCAACACCGCCCTCCCTGTCGTGGCTTGCTCCAGGTGATCTTCAGGTGCAGAGAAACATTCCTCGTGTGTGTGTGTGTGTGTGTGTGTGTGTGTGTGTGTTTTCATGTGCAATTAAGAAAAAAAAAAGAGCGTGTGTTCTGTGGACGGGGCTGCATGTTTTCAGCTCTTCTCATTTCTCGAGTGAATCACAGCTGACGGGTTAATGCTGCCCACATGACTCGATCATCCAGCACACACTT